CCCCCTCATACTGAGATTTCAGCCGCTATGGTATAACGCCCCCTTATACTTAGATTCAGCCTGTATGGTATAAGGCCCCCTCATACTCAGATTTCAGCCACTATGGTATAAAGCCCCCTCATACTCAGATTTCAGCCGCTATGGTTTAAGGCCCCTCATATTCAGATTTCAGACGCTATGGTATAACGCCCCCTCATACTCAGATTCAGTCTGTATGGTATAAGGCCCCCTCATACTCAGATTTCAGCCGCTATGGTATAAAGCCCCCTCATACTCAGATTTCAGCCGCTATGGTATAACGCCCCCTCATACTCAGATTTCGGCTGTATGGTAAAAGGCCCCCTCATACTCAGATTTCAGTCTGTTTGGTATAAGGCCCCCTCATACTCAGATTTCAGCCGCTATGGTATAAGGCCCCCTCCTACTCAGATTTCAGCCGCTATGGTATAAGCCCCCTCATACTCAGATTCAGCCGCTATGGTATAAGGCCCCCCTCATACTCAGATTCAGCTGCTATGGTTTAAGGCCCCTCATATTCAGATTTCAGTCTGTATGGTATAATGCTCCCTCATACTCAGATTCAGTCTGTATGGTAAAAGGCCCCCTCATACTCAGATTTCAGTCTGTATGGTATAAGGCCCCCTCATACTCAGATTTCAGCCGCTATGGTATAACGCCCCCTCATACTCAGATTTCAACAGCTATGGTATAAAGCCCCCTCATACTCAGATTTCAACCACTATGGTATAACACCCCTCATACTCAGATTCAGCATGTAAGGTATAAGGCCCCCTCATACTCAGATTTCAGCCGCTATGGTATAAGGTCCCCTCATACTCAGATTTCATCCGCTATGGTATAAAGCCCCCTCATACTCAGATTTCAGCCGCTATGGTATAACGCACCTCATACTCCATAATCCATAAACAATCTTTTTTAACATATATGTAACAGGAAAGAGACCTGGCATTAAACCAGTGGCCTCTAGCTTCCCAGTCAACCACTTTTAATAACCTAGAAGGCAACCATTATCCTGTGTGCAGTTAAAATCTGCCAAACATGAAAATTATATTTATCTCAAAATATTTGCTGAATGAATTTAAGATTTGATATGTCAAGGGAATAAACAGACCATATGATTTTGGAATCATGTGATGGTTTGTGGGTGTTTTGACCTGCTATCAATCATCCAACTTGAAGGAAGATATATGTAGGGTAGAGATCATTCATGATTATCAGCAGATATTTAATCAGGGAGAATTTTTATCTCAGCTAGCTGGCATTGTCTGTGAACTAATCAAGGGATTATGATGAAAATGGGTATGTATTATCACCTTTGTCCATAAATGTAAGAACAACCCCCTCAAAGACCATAGCAAAGAATAAGCCCCTAAAAGACCATAGCAAAGAACAAGTCCCTCAATGATCATAGTATAGAACACATCCCTTAATGAACAAGTCCCTCAATGATCATAGTATAGAACAAGTCCCTCAATGATCATAGTATAGAACACGTCCTCAAAGATCACAACATAGAACAAGTCTCTCAAAGATCACAGCAAATAACAAGTCCTTCAAAGACCATAGTATAGAACAAGTCCCTCAATGATCATAGTATATAACTAGTCCCTCAAAAGATATAACATATAACAAGTCCTCAAATATCATAGTATAGAAATATGTCCATCAAAGATCATAGTATAGAACAAGTCCTTCAAAGACCATAGCATATAACAAGTCCCTCAATGATCCTAGTATATAACAAGTCCATCAAAGATCACAGCATATAACAAGTCCTCAAAGATCATAGTATAAAACAAGTCTTTCAAAGACCATAGCATATAACAAGTCCCTCAATGATCATAGTATATAACATGTCCCTCAAAGATCACATCATATAACAAGTCCTCAAAGATCATAGTATAGAACAAGTCCCTCAAAGATCATAGTATAGAACACGTCCTTCAAAGACCATAGCATATAACAAGTCCCTCAATGATCATAGTATATACCAAGTCCTCAAAGATCATAGTATAGAACATGTCCCTCAAAGATCATAGTATAGAACACGTCCTTCAAAGATCACAGCATATAACAAGTCCTCAAAGATAATAGTATAAACCAAGTCCTTCAAAGACCATAGCATATAACAAGTCCCTCAATGATCATAGTATATAACAAGTCCATCAAAGATCACAGCATATAACAAGTCCTCAAAGATCATAGTATATAACAAGTCTCTCAAAGATCATAGTATAGAACACGTCCTTCAAAGACCATAGCATATAACAAGTCCCTCAATGAGCATAGTATAGAACACGTCCTCAAAGACCATAGCATATAACAAGTCCCTCAATGATCATAGTATATACCAAGTCCTCAAAGATCATAGTATAGAACATGTCCCTCAAAGATCATAGTATAGAACACGTCCTTCAAAGACCATAGCATATAACAAGTCCCTCAATGATCATAGTATATAACAAGTCCCTCAAAGATCACAGCATATAACAAGTCCTCAAAGATCATAGTATAAAACAAGTCCCTCAAAGATCATAGTATAGAACACGTCCTTCAAAGACCATAGCATATAACAAGTCCCTCAATGATCATAGTATATAACAAGTCCCTCAAAGATCACAGCATATAACAAGTCCTCAAAGATCATAGTATAAAACAAGTCCCTCAATGATCATAGTATAGAACATGTCCCTCAAAGATCACAGCAAATAACAAGTCCTTCAAAGATCATAGTATAAAACAAGTCCCTCAATGATCATAGTATAGAACATGTCTCTCAAAGATCACAGCAAATAACAAGTCCTTCAAAGACCATAGTATAGAACAAGTCCCTCAATGATCATAGTATATAACTAGTCCCTCAAAAGATATAACATGTAACAAGTCCTCAAATATCATAGTATAGAAATATGTCCCTCAAAGATCATAGTATAGAACATGTCCTTCAAAGACCATAGCATATAACAAGTCCCTCAATGATCATAGCATATAACAAGTCCCTCAAAGATCATAGTATAGAACATGTCCTTCAAAGATCACAGCATATAACAAGTCCTCAAAGATCATAGTATAGAACAAGTCCCTCAAAGAGCATAGTATAGAACACGTCCTTCAAAGACCATAGCATAAAACAAGTCCCTCAATGATCATAGTAAAGAACACATCCTCAAAGACCATAGCATATAACAAGTCCCTCAATGATCATAGTATAGAACAAGTCCTCAAAGATCATAGTATATAACAAGTCCCTCAACAGTTGTAACATAGAACAAGTCCCTCAAAGAGCATAAGATAGAACAAGTCCCGCAATGATCACAGCAAATAACAAGTCCCTAAATGATCATAGTATATAACAAGTCCCTCAACAGTTGTAACATAGAACAAGTCCCTCAAAGAGCATAAGATAGAACAAGTCCCGCAATGATCATAGTATAGAACATGTCCCTCAAAGATCACAGCATATAACAAGTCCTCAAAGATCATAGTATATAACAAGTCCCTCAAAGAGCATAAGATAGAACAAGTCCCATAAAGATCATAACATATAACAAGTCCCTCAATGATCACAGCAAATAACAAGTCCCTCAATGATCATAGTATATAACAAGTCCCTCAAAAGTTATAACATAGAACAAGTCCCTCAGTGATCATAACATAGAACAAGTCCCTCAAAGATCATAGTATAGAACACATCCTTCAAAGACCATAGCATATAAAAAGTCCCTCAATGATCATAGTATATAACAAGTCTCTCAAAGATCATAACAAAGAACAAGTCCCTCGATGAGCATAACATATAACAAGTCCTCAAAGATCACAACATAGAACAAGTCCCTCAAAGATCATAACAAAGAACAAGTCCCTCAATGATTAAAATATAGAACAAGTCCCTGCAGGGTCATGTTATTTCAGAATTTTGATTTAAATTATCTCTTTGGTACCTCAGTTCTCAATTAAATTTTCGTAATATTCAATTTTTGTCTTTTTTTCCGCCCTCCATAACAAAGGCAAAATTATCACGACGGCAAAAGTTAGTACAAGTATACCATTATACAATGTAGTAATTATGTGTGAAGGGTGAAATTAGCAATCAGTGCAAATTGGGTCTACCGATGAAGGGGATTATTTACTTGGGGAAAGTTTCCCCATATTATGCCTACATTCTTTGTCACTGATCAAATGTGGTGTGAACCCTGTAGCATAGCTAGAGTCATAAGTTTTACCTGTAGCTTTCTCATTATAAGACTTTTCAAATAAATGACCATGATTTACATTAACATTCTTCAAAAAAGAGAAGAAATTATGAACCACAAAACCCTGGAATTACAATATATTTATGAACCACAAATCCTGGAATTGTATAATATCTTTAACCTGTAGTTTGTTAGGCTGAAAGGCTTTTCAAATAAATTACCTAACCAGCTATTCAAGGTTTAAAATAAGAGAGCTCGGTAACATGTATTGAATGAAACCTTCATATAACTTCTTCTGATGATATTTCTCAAGAAACTTTCTTGCAGCATTGGAAAGCTTTTCTTTACGGTTGTTGATAATATGACTACTAGTAATTTTAGCATTTCAGCTTTAAATATATTTTGCCAATATCATTAAATAACGGCTGACCAATACAGGCCCAATGGGCCTCTTGCTATTGACAGAAACTCAACCTATATTGCACACGTCATTGTTATTGACGATTGATTCACACTCTGTGTTTTGGTAAAAATAATTGATTTGAGATACATATCTGGCAGCTCACTGCGGCCTTGTTTGATATTTTCACACTATTCCTGTATTTTTATGTGTAATTTGGCTGTACTAAATGTCTGAACGAAAAGCTCGAGACAATTTTTGAGAAAGTAGGTGAGCCCTGTGATAATGAGGTATAATGGTATTCATTTTTGCTCATTACTCATTTATATGGTAGACTGGAGAAATATAGATGTAACTAAAAGGGAAAAAACCGTTTGATCTTCCAGATACAATCCTATGTACTAGGAGGAGGAGTGGAACATTGACATGACTTAGCCGGCAGCCTGGAGTGACATCCCCACCATGTTAACCTGCCCGATGTAGACAATGCGTGCTGCAGGCAGAGCAACCCAAGCAGAACCAGTGCTAATTTGCTAACAGAGGAAGCATTATTACAATTCTGCCAATGCCTGACTTTTTACACCTGAAGTAAATAATTCCAGAACCTGCTCATTATAGGTTTCTGTCATAAAACACCAATTATTTGCCTGTAAGTCTAAAGAAGCCTAATTACAGGTACTTGGGGAATATCATCCCACAAACTTACAGCAGCCTTCCCATAACCGAGCCAGCACCTCCGTCTGTAGTAGATCATTTGTATAATGTGATCCTCCAGTTATTGTGTTCTGACAAATGGATTCAGGTAGAGTGTATTATCATTATTGATGTGACAAGCGAGAGGAGACTGAATCAGAGATTTCCATTGATACTACAGAAGTGATTACCTGTTGAAATCTGTGACGATGGGACTGTGATAAAATGTGTCATCGTGTGTGGGTACTGTGGCTGTAATCGTGTGTCAGACATAGAGGATGAGGATTCGTACTGGAGGATGATTCGCCAATATGAGAGTGTTACTTTGGATTTTAACGGTGTATATCTGTCGAGTACAAGTTACACAGAACACTCTCAGCAGTGATGATCCTCTTGTACTGAACTTTACAGGTAAGACAATTTCTTTACAGGTGTCTCAACCATAATAACGCATGTACCTTTGAGTAATTTACTTTACAGGTATTCAACCACTTAACATGTATTCAACCACTTAACAGGTATTCAACCATTTACTGGTGTTCAACCACTTTACAGATATTCAACCACTTTAAAGGTATTCAATCACTAACCAGGTATTCAACCACTTTATGGATATTCAACCACTTTAAAGGTGTTCAACCACTATATATGTATTCCAAAATCGATTTACAGGTATTTAACTGCAGATAAGGTATTCAACCACTGTACAGATATTCAACCACTATAAATGTATTCAATCACTTTAAATGTATTCAATCACTTTAAATGTATTCAACCACTTACCAGGTATTCAACCACTTACAGTTGTTCAACCACTTTACAGGTATTTAACCACTATAACTGATTCAATCACTTTAAAGATATTCAACCATTGTAAAGATATTCAACCATTGTAAAGATATTCAACCACTAACCAGGTATTCAACCACTATAAAGGTGTTCAACCACTTAGCAGGTATTCAAAGATCGATTACCAGGTATTTAACTGCAGATTAAATATTCAACCACTTTACAGGTATTCAACCACTATACAGGTGTTCAACCACTATAAAGATTTTAACTAATTCGCAGGTGTTCAACCAATTTACAAATATTCAACCACTTTAAAGGTATTCAATCACTTTACAGGTATTCAACCACTTTACAGGTATTCAAAAATCGGTTTACGTGTATTTGAATGCAGATTATGTTTTCAACCACTTTACAGGTATTTAACCACTATACAAGTATTTAAACATGTACACTTTACATTTATTCAACCACTCACCAGGTATTCAACCACTTTACAGGTATTCAACCACTTACAGGTGTTCAACCACTTTACATGTATTCAACCACTATAAAGGTATTTAAACACTAACCAGGTATTCAACCACTTTACAGGTATTCAAAAATTGGTTTACAGGTATTTAAATGCAGATTAAGTATTCAACCACTTAACATATATTCAACTAATTACAAGGTGTTCAACCAAATTACAAATATTCCACCACTTTAAAAGTATTCAATCTCTTACCAGGTTTTCAACCACTTTAAAGGTGTGCAATCACTTAACAGGTATTCAAAAATTCGTTTAAAGGTTTTCAACTGCAGATGATGTATTCAACCACTTAACAGGTATTCAAACACTTCAAAGGTATTCAACCACTTACCAGGTATTCAACCACTTTACAGGTATTCAACAGCTTTAAATGTATTCTGTTACTTTAAAGGTGTTCTACCACTTTACATATGTTCAACCACTTTGCAGGTATTCAACCATTCCCCAGGTATTCAACCACTTTACATATTTTTAACCACGTTACAGTACTAGATATTCAACCAATATACAGGTGTTCAACCATTTTACATATTTTCAACCACTTAACATGTATTCAACCACTTTACATGTGTTCAACCACTTTACATGTATTCAACCACTTTACATGTTTTCAACCACTTCACAGATATTCAACCACTGTACAGGTATTCAACCACTTAACAGGTAGTTAACCAATCCACTTTAAGGGTATTCAACTACAGTACAGGTATTCAATTAATTTAAAGGTATTCAACCACTTTACAGACCCACTTTACATCTTCTTTTAATAAGCCCACACATAATCTCTTACTCAAAGTAGGGGTGGTGTCATAATGAGATAGTGAAAAAGCAATTTTTAGCATTTCTACGCCAAACTGTATTATAATAGATGAGCTCATTACCAGTCATTGGCTTATAATGTATTGCTTGATAAATACAAAGTTAAGATTCTTAAGGTTGTGAGAATATTATCTAGTCTCCAACCTTGTTTTAATTAACAGCTATCCAAATTTTAGTTACTATGATATAAAGAGGGAGATTTCTTAAGTTTGCATTTATCAATTCCAGGACAAACTGAACTTAATTGCTCCTTACTTTCTACTATATACCAAGTGATGCAATGACAGCCACTGAAACAGGACAGACATCTGCCATCTAGCACTGTGTAGTAGTTGTCTTCAACACTAAATCTTTGATATCTCAGAGTTTTGTCACTGCACTTTCAATCTTGTAAAAAGCTATTCCAGAGCAATATGTATGAGTGTTTGTGGATGTGTTTGTGGTGTGTGCGTGAGGGGTTGTCTATGCCTGAGGGGCTGTATGTGCGTGCAGGGTTGTTCTACTTGTTGTTTCATGACTGGTGAACTTGAGGATCGCCCATTATCTAAGATGACCTGCAGGCCTGAAGCTCAGATAGTAGCTAGAGACCATCTCTCTAGGAGCTTTATGATGTGTTCATGTCTGCTAGTTGAATGTGATTGCATGTGTAAAGCAATACAAGATAAACATTGTCAAAGCGACGCCTACAGATTCCCATCATTCTTTGTTTAAAGCTAGTGATGTATGATCATTTTTTGCTGGTATTTTTTAAATTTTATATATGATTTATGTGTTCACCAAATTTTATGATTGTCGAAAGAGCAAATGCTTAAGTCTTCAAATGATATCAAACTGTCTCTACAAAACTTTATAAACACATAAATATGGTAAGAAATTAGATTGCAGGCATGTTTATAGAAAACACGTAGTGTGAAAATAACCTGCTGTGATATTCAGTGCAAATTTTCAGCAGATAACAAAGTTACATCTGTGGGAAAACTTCCAAAATATGGATTCAGAGTGTTTTTATTAGATTATTGGTTCGAGTTTTGCCATAATATCTGCTTCCTCGATGCATGACCTAATTAGCTCTGGTCTGGTGGGCTGAGTGAGTGACATTTCCTATCTACATATAGATAAAGATATAAGATGCTGTGTATGTTTGACTCTAAAAAGTCCATTGTGAACTTATGTCACCTATCAAACACTTTTTGGTGTCCTTGACATGTTATATACCTTTTCACAGGTTTGGGACATGATTAGGATACTATCTATTGTCATTACATTCATCAGTATGATGTTCCTTCTGATCACAATGAGGAGGGAAGATAAACCTTTCCATTTAGCCAATTAAGATACAGGTTGGGGAGGGAAAATAAATCATTAGCCAATTACGATACAGGTTCGGGAGGGAAAATAAATCATTGCCATTTAGCCAATTATATGATACAGTTTGGGAAGGAAGATGTATGATGGTCATTTAGCCAACTATGAAACAGGTTGGGAAGGGAATATATATGGTAGTCATTTAGCCAATGACAATACTGCTTGAGGAGGGAATATAAATGGTAGTCACTTAGCCAATTATGATACAGGTTTGGTAGGAAATATAAGTAATTAAATCAATTAGAATCCCACATAAAGGCTCTGTTTATATCAAAGCATTGCACCAAGACATAAGGTGCAAAGACAAATGATAGAAAACTCTTCAGAAACCCAACGCTTTAGTCACAATTTACAGTCATAATATCCGTGTTCTCATCAGATGTTACAGTCCGGAAATCTAGAGAATCAGATTTATTTGTACTCAACAGTTAAACACCAATGTCATAGCAGCAGTGCTCTACATCACATAGGTGTTAGGTTTTGTCGTTGTTGCTTGTCAATATTTCATTACATAGGTGTTTTATTTCGTTGGTACGAAGTACTGATTTCATTTTCATGGATTTTAAATTAGCTTAAGCTTTCATCAGTTCTTTTTAAATTGAATTTGCAGAAAAAGCCTGCTTGACAATTCTAAATTATACATAATATACAAGACACTGTGCAAGCATTACAAATGGATCCTAAAACCTTCGTAAGAACGTACAGAGTGCATTTTGTCATAAAGTACATAGGGCACTGTTGCATTCAGGTTAACAGCTATTTCCTGTCTGAATTGAATTATCTTTGAGTCAATTTTAAATTTACACACCCGATTTCTATCTTTTGACTTTGTGCTTGCTTGATTTGGTCAAGTAAAACCAAGTGAATAGAGATATTTAGGTCTAATGACAGTCGTTGCATTGGTCACCTCTGTCTGGGTAAACCTGCCAATGCTGACACTGGTGTTCCAACCTTTCCATGTTTAAGTTTAGACACACATACCAGTAGGAGTGCATGTAAACAGGACATTATGAACAGTGCACATACCCAGGGCTAGCCCTAATCCAATTTCACCCCTATTAACCTCACCTGGTCAAAAAATCAGGGAACTTAGCCCTTGGTAATAAGTGTCTGTATTGATGATTGCTGAGAGCCAAGGAAATTCAGTTTGGTATGAATGATGGTGGTGAATCCATTAAAATAAGATAGAAGACTATGGGAAACCGCTTTTAGAGGTTGGGTCCAGGGGAGGAAGGAGGGAGGAGGCGGGGAGGTTGGGTCCATGGGAGGAAGGAGGGCGGAGAGGTTGGGTCTGGGGGCGGGGAGGTTGG